CCAGCCCGCCAAGCCCCGCGCCTCCGTGGCGGCCCCCAGCCTGCCTCCAGAGGGAGCAAGCAGAGGGCAAGGGCTAGACGTGAGCCAGAGAAGGGCAGGAGGAGGGGTCCATGTTGGGGTCAAGGCACGGACCCCCTCTGGTCCCCTTAGGGCACAGAGTTCAGCCCCATGTGACAGACAAAGCCCAGGCTTGCGGCTCTGGTCCCCATTCACAGAGACGCATCAGTTCTCTGTGGGGTTTGTGTGTGTGTGTGTGTGTGTGTGTGTGTGTGTGCGATGACATCACGTGTGCTTCGGAGTCCCTCTGTCATGGTCGAGACCTGATCCCCAGGTGTGGTAATGGGCACTCCTTCAGGGAGGCCGTCTCCGGGGCTCTGTCGGTCTTTCCTTTCCTGTGCACCTACATTCCCGATGATGCACAGGACGCAGGCCAGCAGAGAGCCTTCGCCTCAGCCTCTGACCTGAGAGCATCTCCTGCCCCTTCCAGGCAGCCTTTGGTGGGTAGTAAAAACCGTGGCAATGTGCAAGAGGCAGGGGTGGAAGACAGCGCCGCAGGGTGCCATCCCAGGGAGCAGTCTGGGGTCCAAGGTGTTTTTCAGAGTATTATAAAACTGAGGATGTCGGGGGCCGGCAGGTGGCGTGGTGGTTAAGGCAGATGGACTCCCCCATGACTGATCACGGTTCGAGGCCCAGACCTGGAAGCTTGCTTTTTCACTTTCCCTCTCTCTCACTTTGTCCATCTCTGTTCAAATTAAAACAAACAAACAAATAAATGAACAAATAAAGCTAAATAAAGTAATTCTTTAAACAAAGTAAATAAAAAAAAAAAATGAGGATGTCTAGTCAGGGACAGCAGGGGAACAGCACAGCCAATGGAAGTGAGCTCCTGGCAAGGCAGACCCACCGTGCTCTCTTCCACCTCCCCAGGTCCCCCGTCTACACCTGGGTGAATAGGTGACCTATGCAGGGTGTCTCCGTCACCCCTCACTCTCGCCTTGCTTTCCAGGTACCAGATCAACGCCCGGACAGAGCTGGCCGTCCGGTACAATGACATCTCCCCACTGGAGAACCACCACTGTGCTGTGGCCTTCCAGATCCTCGCCCGGCCCGAGTGCAACATCTTCTCCAATGTGCCATCTGATGGCTTCAAGCAGATCAGACAGGTGTGCAGGGTGGCGAGGCTAAGGGCAGGTGACTAGGGGACCAAGCAGAAGCCCACTGTCCAGAGGCTGGATGCTCCTGGTCACAGCAGTGCATCCTGGGAGCCCTTGCCCGCTCTCCCACCTCCTTCAGGGCCCAGATGGACCCACAGGTGCATCCCCTCACCATGCACATGTGCAATTGCACAGGCCCTTGGTTCAAAGACTACTACCACCGTCACTGATTCCCTTTGAGAAAAGTCCTTTGCCTGTTGCAGCCCAGAAAACTGAGGCCTAGAGAAGGTGGGTGATGGGGAGCCGCAGCCACAGCCCTTGATTGACCACAAGAGCTAACTGCTGCTCCCAGCTGCTGTCACCTGCTACCCATGGTCCAGTCACCCCACTGCCACTGCAGATAGGGGATTGCCATGGTTAGAATGTGACCCCCCAGTAGTTTGGCCAAACCATCCTCAGGTACTAAGAGAACAGGAAGGTAATACAACTGTGGGACAAAGAGGTGCAGCCTGTGAGAGGTGATTAGGTTGGATAAGTGACCAGGCGGCCCCACCTGAACACTGGTGAGTCCATAAGGAGAGAGAGAGGGGCCAGACCAGACACGGACACGGACACAGACTCACTCTGCTCTGCTCTGTGCGCACCCTGCCTCTGCTGTGCAGTGAAAAGACCTTACCAGATGCAGACCCTTGACCTCGGACCTCCAAACATTAGCTGAATAGACCTCTGTTTTTTTAAATTATCCAGACTCGGGTATTTCTCAGCAATAGAACAGACTAGAACAGGGACTTTCCACAAGGCACACGGGGAGGAGGATGAAAGGGCACCTGCAGGAGAGGAGGGTCACCCCGCAGCACTGCCAGCTCACCCTTCCACACTGGAGTCCTCATTGAGCCGTATCTCAGAGCTCCAGCCTATGACGCTTGCAGAAGAGGGATGATCTGAGTGACCTTGGGTGAAAAGTAACCCCAGAAAGGTGTGTCTACCTCTGGACCCTCACAACCTGTGGATGTGACTTTATTTGGAAAAGGTTTCTTTAGATGTGTTCAAGTCAGGGTCCCCAGATTAGAGCACTGTGGGTCACACAGGTGGGCCCAATGGTGATTGTCCTTATAGAAAACAGAAGAGAAGACACAGACACATAGGAAACGGCCATGTGACAGTGTAGACAGAGGCCAGAGTGATGCCTAGGGCTACCAGAAGCTGGAAGAGGCAGGAAGAAGCCTTCCCTGAAGGCTTGGAAGGCAGCACAGCTCTGCCAACAGCTTGGTTTTGATTCCCAGCCCCAGAACTGTGACAGGATGGATCTCTTGTTTTAAGCACCCCAAGTCTGTTACACTGTGCACGGCAGCCGGGAATCTCACAGGAGAGCCACCTCCATCTCTTTGAGGAACCGTCTGCCATGCAGTCCACGCAGACCTCGCTTGTTCTAGGTCTCAAATGGGCTTCCTTGCAGACGCGGCTGATAGAGACCTCCTTTGCCGTGCAGCTGACACTCTCTGGAGTCCTTTGCAAACTGGGAAAACAGCCTGCCCCCCAGAGCACTGATAAGCTGTACTTAATCAAAGAGCAACCACCTCATAAACCATTTCCCAATCTGTCTGTGCTTCCAGGAAGTCCCAAGCTAAACGTAGAATGTAAGGGCCGTCACTGTTGACACGTCAGCCCTTCTGGCCTCCTGGTGTCCATGAGCCCACCCTGTAAGCCTGTGCTGTGTGGGGTTGCCATGGCTGCAGCTAGCCTTCCCTGAAGTAGTGAAGGGGCACACGAGGAAGAGAGGCCCGGGCGTGTGCCGCGGCTGCCCTGACGCCACCACGTGGGGCCTCCTCCACCCTGTGCACGCGACTTGCCCCAGGAGTAAGTCAGGGCAGCACCTTGAAAGAAAAGAGGTTGGCCTGATTGGAGGAAGCCCCCTGCAGATGGGCCTTCTTCATATGCCGCCACAGAGATGCACAGGGCCACCAACTTCCTTACTTCAAAGTGTTTAACATGAGCCTGCTAGGGGTAAAATCAGTCGTCCCAACTGTTACTTAAGCTCATTTATTCACTTCTTTTATGAGAGTGAGAGAGAACTCCCAACAAGGTCCTAAGTCCACAATCCCCTCCGGTCTCAACCTGCCTGGATCACCGGCACACAGGCACACCAGTGTGCTCAGGGAGATCCTGGGACTTGAACCCAGAACCTTTCTCATGTAGGTTCAGTTGAATTATTGCTGGCCTCAGTGGTTCCAACAATTTTTTTTTAATAATTTTTTTACTGAACTTTATTTAAATTTTACCAAAGAGGGACAGAGTGAGAGAGAGAGAAAGTGAGAAAGCAAGCTGCCAGGTCCAGGACTCAAACCACGGTCAGCCATGTGAGAGTCCAGCACCCTTAACCACCATGCCACCTGCTGGCCCCATCCCAACAATTTTTTAAATGTTTAGTCCTTGGATATTTTGAAGGCTGAGTAAATCCTTTGCTACTAAAACAAGTCTCTACAGAATATCATATATTCAAAATGCACGTGGGAACCAGCAGTTAGCGTAATGGCTATGTTGCTGGATTCCCACGTAGTCGACCGCGGTTCGTGTCCCGGACCCGGTGACTTCAAAATCACCCCCCGGGCGCGTGTGCGTGCATGCCCAAGATCCCGAGAGGAGAATGGAGGAGAGGGGATTGCGGCGTGACCATCCCCCCTGGGGGGTGATTTCTCGCTTTCTGTCTCTATGTCTCTCTCTGTCTGTCTGGCGAGCGCACGCGCCCTACAGTGAAAATCTCTCAAAAAAAAAAAAATGCACGTGATACATTTGAAATGACCTGTGTTGATCTGGGTTTTGTATTTGCTCCCTGTAGCTCTAGTTTCTTGGAAAAGTAGAACACCAGACCTGGCACAGAGCTGTGACTCAGAATTGTCTGTGGAGCAAACAGATGGATGGTGGAGGGATAGGTAGATGGAGGGACAGATGCACAGGTGGAGGGTCATGGTTTCAGATTATGCTACTTTTCCTAAACCAGTATTTGACCAGTGAGATAATGAAATATTTATATTAAAAAGGTCATTGCACCCTCATTTACAAATGTGTTACATGAATGTTATTCAACATATTCTGACTTCAATTATTCCTAAGCCATATATATATATATATATATATATACACACACACATATGTGTGCGTGTGTGTGTGTGTAACCACATATAGACTTGATAATAGAGAAAAATACTCTTAGAAAATTCGTGTCTGACTTCCAACAGTAAGATGTGGACTTTACTAGATGACTAAATGTGGGGGAAGCTTTTGGCCACAGGTGCAGGCTGCTAGACTTCACGCACACGGCGATCTGTGAGTTCGTCCTGGCAGGCTGCAAGGGGACGCTGTGCAGCACGGTCACACCAGTGGGGTGACAGTCACACATCCTGGCTTGCACCAACATGGACTCCCCATCTGCGCCCTGAGCAAGTTGGCCTCTTCACTGCTCTATTTTTTTCTGCAAAAGTCAGACAGTGACTGTCAAGTTGAGCACTGCAGTAGGGCTAAGGGGTACAGTGTATCCACAGGCTCTGTCTGCAATCATCCTGCTCTCACCTTTCAGGGAATGATCACACTGATCTTGGCCACTGACATGGCAAGGCATGCTGAAATTATGGATTCTTTCAAAGAGAAAATGGAGAACTTCGACTACAGCAATGAGGAGCACCTGACCCTGGTGAGTAGGCTCCTTTGGCTGTTTCCAGGCTGCTGGGTGAGAGTCAGGCTGTCCAGCTCAGGCTGGAAACCAAGACCCCCCGCACACACTCGTTCTTAGTCCTGCCTTGGAACCAAGCGTCTGCACACTTGGAGTTCAAGGTCTCCTCTCTTACTGGGAAAGCCTCTCCCTAGAAAGAGACCCTTCATGGTTAAAAGGTGACCTTTGCCATTCTCCCACTGAGGTTTGACTTGAGGATGAATGGGTGAAGACCATGTGTCTTGCTTCAGTTTCCTGAGAGTAAAGGTGGTCTCCCACCAAGGCACAGCCCCCAGAACACATGCTAGAACCAGCCTCAGATTCAGCATTAGTACCAGGCCAAGGCACCCCTCTGTAACCGGGACAGGCCACTAGAGCAGGGAGGGGACCTCACCAGCGAGAAGGGTGGGCCTGAGGCTGTTGGTGTCTGCCACTTATAAACAGAGCCTGGCAAAACTCCTCCTCCCAGCCACAAAAGGAAAGTCGGCTGTGTTGAGTCTGGTCTGAGTGTTAAACATACTTTTTGACATTCTCATTCTTGAGATTGATTGTATAAAATCAGAATCATCAGGCCAGCCCTGTGGTCTGGTGGTTAAGAGAGCCAGATCCCACATGGCCAAGCAAGCGGTTTGAATCCCAGCCCCAGTGGCTTGAGCAACACCCCGGGCACATGTACACGCATGCCCAAAATCCCAGCAGGACGGAGAGATGGAGGGCAGGGTACTGTGGTGTGACCATCCCCTGTCTCTCTGTCTCTGTGGGACTGCCTTCTCATTTCCCTCCCTTTCTGTCTCTGTCTCCCTCTGGCAAGTGCATGCACCCCTGACAAGTATTCTAAAAATATCAATATCATCACTTTCCATCACCAGGGAAGCTGAAGTTTAGGTCAGACTGAACGTTAACCATGTGGCCCCAGGTAGATCCAAGCTCTGAGGGCTGTCATTCTTACCCCTGAACTATAGTTCATACAGAGTATCCCCAGGGCAGAGGGCCTCTTGTATTTCAGAACTGAGCACCAAGGGGCCCTATCTCCCCCCGATCAGGACCCCTGAAACATCCCTTCACTAAGCAGAAAGAAAGAGATACAGTCCTGTCGGATTTGCAACAAGCAAGTCCCTGCTTATGAAAAACCAATGGAGGGACCAGCAGTTAGCGTAATGGCTATGTCACTGGACTCCCACATAGTTGACCACAGTTCGAGTCCCAGACCCAGTGGCTTAAACTCACACCAGGTGCGTGTGCATGCGTGCCCAAGATCCTGAGAGGAGAATGGAGGAGAAGGGATTGCGGTGTGGCCATCCCATCTGAGGGGGTGATTTCTTGCTTTCTGTCTCTCTGTCTCTCTCTGTCTTTCTGGCAAGCGCACACACCCTATAGCAAAAACCTCTCAAAAAAAAAAAAAAGCCAATGGAGAGGCCACATTGTCCCCTAGGATGTGGGGAGGGCAAGAAGAATGAAGACGGGGACGCATCTGAGGTGGGGAGGGGACTAGGCTGAACCCTGTCTCTTCTTCCTTTTTTCCTCTGAGATGAGGAAGGGCAGGGTAGAGCATTTGCCATCCACTGTGAGGTGGTCACGAGCCACACTCAAACAACAGCCGACCTTTATTCACTCCCTGCCCTGTGCAAGCAAGAGGCAGGAACAGGCCCCTGTGCTTCTTCTTATCCCCAAGTCTGGCACCAGACCAGGACAGATGACTTACGGCCCCGGCAGGGCTCAGCCCTCTGCCATGAAGCCCCACGCAAAATCTCCTGCCTCTTCATGGACACAGGGTCCAGGGAAGGACAGGGAACGGTGGTTCTGAGTCAAGGTGGGGAGACAGGCCCCAGATCAGGGGAGGCTCTTGGGCTAGGAATGCAAATATGCATAGGTGTGCAGGGGCTGAGGGGGTAGATCCCCAGCTCCCTCCAGAGGACAAGATGCCCGGGCTGTGTACCAGGCCTGCTGTGGGGGCATCTCCCACCCGGCTGCATTATAATTAGTTGCCTCTGGTCTAGAGCCGGACTCTTCACAGAGGAAGATGGCCAGGCCCACTTCCCAGGAGCCAACAAGAAGGTGATGAGGGCTGAGTCACTATGAAGTCCAGCCAGGATTGGGGGCGTAAATCTGCCAGCCCGTGTGGACCTGGAGCTGAACCAAGCTGTGCTTAGCCAAGTCCCGCCCCCAGCCCTTCTGTCCTGTGCAAGATCCAGGAGGGGCAAACAAGGCAGACAGCTCGGTCCTCACCCCAGTGCATGTTCTCACCTAATCAACCTCAGACCCCAGAAGACAACCAGTGCTGGGACCCTGGGGGCTGGGACCCAGGTGACAGTCCTTTGTGCATGCCCCTTGCAAGTCTGTGGGACACCAGTCCCCACAGCTAGTCCAAAGGCCATTTCCTGGCTAGTTCTGGTGGGGACACTTCAGCTAAAGACTTCACCCTGACCCCTGTCCTTCCAAAGCACCTGTTGTGTGCCCAGCCCTTGCCAGGCTCGGAGGAACTACCAGTCTCCTGGGAAGACAGAAACACACCCACTTGGGGAACAGTCCCAGACGGTGTGGCTGAGCGGAGTGCTGAGTGACATCATCTGGTCTGGGTGGCCAGGAAGCCTGGAGGACCTGAGGTGCGCACACAGGCTCCATAGCAGGGGGAGGCGATTTCTATAGGTGTACCAGCAGAAATGCACTTGAGGTCCCGGACATGGAGAGACCCCACTTGACCCAGGGAAGGTGACAGGCTGGGGACAGAAGGCAGAACTGAGGCCACCTTTGACATTTGTAGAATTTTTCTAACTCCAGATTTGGGATCTGCTCATAGATGCCCATGGACCGGCCAGGAAGGGCCGAGTGCCCCTGCCAGTGCTCCAGGGCAAGAGGGTGCCAAGACAGGTACCCTCTGTGCTTTTAAGTGAAGGTCTCCACTTTCCCCTCTCACATGACCACACATGTCACACATTGCTCAGGGGTCCTGGCACATCCATCTTGGTGGGTTTCCTTTATTGCTCCTTTTTTTTTTTTAAGATTTTTGCCATAGGATTTGTGCATTCACTAGAGAGAGACAGAAAGAGGGGAAGTGAGAAATTATCCCCCAGGGGTAATGGCCATTCCTCAATCCCTTCTCCTCCACTGTCCTCCTGGGATTTGGGACATACATGCACATGGGCCCAGTGTGACTTTCAAGCCACTGGACCCAGGATCCGAACCATAGTTGAACATGTGGGAATCAGTGCCTTACCCACCATACCACCTGCTGGCCCCCTTTATTGCCCTCTCTAACCAGCGCTTCCACACAATGCTTTCCACATTCTTCCTATATCCCCAACTACCAAGAAGTAATCTTTTTTAACTTTACCATTTATAGCTTCTGTTACAAAATGTCTATATCCAAGAAAAAAATCCAACGTTTTGGGGGTATAGTGATGCTCCCCACCCCCTGGTGAGGCTGAGAGATCTAAATACAGACTGCAAGGACACCCACCACTGAGCAAAGTTGCCAGGCCACTGCAGGGAGAGAGCATGTCCCTCCACAAAGAAGTAGAGCTCCATGACCCCCTTGGCCCACGTCACCACCTCTGTCCCTTCCTGCCTGCAATGGAAGGCCAGCAGACACCAGCAGCAGGTCGTGCGCTATCTTCCGGGGCCTAAATCCCCAAATGTCTTCTTTCAGCTGAAGATGATCTTGATAAAGTGCTGTGATATCTCCAATGAGGTCCGTCCCATGGAAGTTGCAGAACCGTGGGTGGACTGTTTATTAGAAGAATATTTTATGCAGGTAAGAGTCTTGCAAAGCCATCAAACCTCCAGTCACTATTAATAGTTCTGTTAAGATGAGCGTTCTTGATGAGGGTGTTTGTAAAAGCCTGTCGTGGTAGACTGGTGTGTGTGACACCAGCAACTGCCACAAGAAGGCCCTCACCACAGATGCACTTCAGAAATTAAGTAGTTGGGCATTTGAGACATGAAGAACAGTGACAGCCCAGAAGCGCGAATGCTGTGAAACTACCACCTGTTACCCCCAGCTGAGCTGCTTTTAGGGGCACACGTGCTAAGCAAACTGCCTGAAACTCAAGAAGCAAGAACCAGAGAGCAGAAGGGAGCCCCAGGGGTGCAGGGACCCAGCAGGTCCTCTTACAGGGGTGCCCCTGGGGAAGATGGAGACACAGAAAACCCACCCAGCTGAAATGGAAAGTGTTACTGCAGAGGGCAGTAAGCCATGAGACACATCGGCTTGATGAGCCCTAGGAGAGCATGGAGCGGGGGTGTTCTCTCAGCCCCTCCACTGCTGAGCAGCCCTGTGATGCCTCTGACCACTGCCATCCCCCTGAATTCGGAGATCCTCACAGCCCCAGCGGCACACATAGCAAAGGAACACTGCCATTGCCCCTCGTGCTTGCTAACACGCATTTATAGCGTGTTTCAGGTGGTGCTCGGTTAAGGAGCTTGTTCCATTCTGGATGTAATTCTCCTCCAGATTCTGCAGATCCCACGGGCCCTTCTCACTCTAATGCTCCTGTCCACTGCATTCCCCGCAGAGCGACCGCGAGAAGGCGGAAGGCCTGCCTGTGGCCCCATTCATGGACCGAGACAAAGTGACCAAAGCCACAGCCCAAATTGGCTTCATCAAGTTTGTCCTGATCCCAATGTTTGAAACAGTGACCAAGGTGAGTAATGGTCACCACATGCTGATGATGAAACGGTGAGAAGTACACACACATGCACATACACATGAAAGCATGTACATCACTCACATGCATGCACACATGCATATTCATGTTTGTGCATGCATGTATAGAAGTGTGTGTCAGTCCACGTGCACATGGCACATACATGTGTGCATGTGTTCGTACAGGTTCACATATGTGCACATCCTCATCATCCTGTCTTCACTGTGACCACTGCTCCCTGGACCCCATCCTCCCTGCTTCATTGGGAGCCTGCCCCTTGCAGTGCCTTCCACTCTGTGCTCAGCCCCCACTGCTTTGCTGGCCCTTGGTGCCACCTCCTTGCCCTCACCCGTCACTGCAGGCCTTCAGGACCGGCAGGCTGCAGCAGCTGCTTCTGTTGATTCTGCCATGCCTCCCTCTGTCGTCTCCCTCACCACCAGAGAAACAGCTGGCATCAGTGCCTTGGCTGTGAAGCCCAGCGTCCAGGCCCAGGCCACCTGCCAGCCTTGCTCCCTGCCCACATATGTCCTCACCCAGCTCCCTTCAGGGCCCAGATCGCAAGGCCCCCAGTCAGCATGTCTGAAATATACTCATCCTCTGCCCCGCCCCTGCCCGCAGCTTCCTGTCCTCCTCACCCCTCACCTGCGTCTTCATGAGAACCTGCTGGCCTGCCCCATCCTTGCCCCACATAGGAGCCAGAGAGAAGGGCACGGCTTTGCTGGGCCCCAAGGGGAATGATGAGAGCAGAGGCTGAGGGGGTCTGGGATGGTGGAAGGAGGAAGTGCCAGGGCCTCACAGGGTGGGACCAACCAGCAACTTCCAACCTAGTGCCTTTTAAGACCCTTCCAAAACCTCAAAGTGCACTCGGGAGGGAGTAAGTCCCCACGGGACCCACTACGACACAGAGGACCTGACACCTGTTTTTCTCCAACGTCCTCTGTCGCCTTAAGAATGGTGGGCTGTCTGTCTCTCCCAGCTCTTTCCCGTGGTTGAGGATGCCATGCTGCAGCCCCTGTGGGAATCCAGAGATCGTTATGAGGAATTGAAGCAAATTGACGATGCTGTGAAAGAGGTAAAATGTCTTGGTCAGGGAATGACCCCCTTGGCCCATGTGGTACACGTGCTGCAGGCTAGGATGCCTGGGAGGCCCAGGTTCGATTCTTGGTCCAACCCAAATATGGGCATGATGGCGTGCACCTGTAATCCCAGGGGTTCACGGAGGCTGAGGCAGGAGGTTGCAAACTCAGTGTGACCTCTGCCAGCCTACCCTTTACACAGCCCCTGTGTTCATGAGTCACCCTCTTCTGACAGGACTTACCCAGGGCTCAAATCCCCATCCCCTCCCTCCTGGGAACACAGAAGTCCTTGTCACCCCCGATGCCCTACAGGGTACTGAGCTGTCATCCAGGCATGTCCTGGTATGGGTCACCTCTCCCTCAACAATACCTGGTATACTATGCACACACTGACCTGGTGTACAACACTAGGCATACTGCAGGTGCTTAATAAATGCTTACCGTCAACTGAAAATCCCAGCCAGCAGTCCCAGTGTGTCCAGCTGGACTCTTTTACCAGAAGGTCACAGAGAAATCTCTAAAGCTCTTTTTCAAAAAGGCTGAGTGGAGTATGCAGAGGGATGGACGTAGACAAGAGGCTCCCAGGGTCCAGACCCAGAAGGACCTGGGTCTCCATGTCCTACTGCCCAGGGGGGATCCAGGACCATCCAAGGCACCTTCCTACCCCCAAATAGACAGACATACAAAAGGGGTGCACGGCGGAGCCTGATCCAGACTGAACAGCTCCCATCAGCCCGCTGCGGCTGTGCTGACTGCAGCCAGCAGGAGTTTCACCGTCCAGGCCCGGGACAGGGCTGCTGAGGCATGGCCTAGGGTAACGGGGAGGGTGGTGTGTGTGCAAGGCTGCGTCGTGCGTGTGTGGCACGTGGAGGGAGGTGGTGCACGGCAGCTTTTCATGTTTTAGCATCTCAGGCCACAGAGGCCTCGCCTGCTGTCATCCTGGGACTTGACCTTTGCCTCCCCTGCACTCTGTCCTAGCTACAGAAGGAGACCGAGAGCTTGACATGTGGCAACAGCGACAAGTCCAAGGAGAAGAGCAGAGATGTGGGGAAGTGTGAAGGTAACGCTCTTCTGAAAGGACGTGCGTGCTTCCAGCAATGGAGACGGCGTGGGGAGGGCATCAGAGACCGAGGGAGGAGGGGCAGGAGGGGAGGGGAGGGAGACAGGATGCATTATGGAATATCCTCAAATAAGAGGAACTTCATACCTTGCTTATCTTACTCAGAATTAGGCTCTGAAAGGTGGACATGCTTTAATTCACAGAAAAACATCAGTAATTAGCAAATGCAAGACTTATAAGAGCAAATACTTTAAATTTACTCATGTCTTAGAGAGAGACCCTCCACACAGCCCTCATGCCTCAGTCCACCCCAGCCTCAGCTGCACAGATGATGGGCACACGTGTACACACCGGGCGTGCTCGGAGAGGTCCCAGGATGCAACACTAGGACCTATGCCATAGATCCTCTTGGGATCTTGGGCACACACGCACCCGGCGTGAGTTTAAGCCACCAGGTCCGGGACTCAAACCACAATCAACTAGACTACATGGGAGTCCAGCGACATAGCCATTACGCTAACTGCTGGTCCCAAGGCAAAAACCTCTTTAAAAAAATAAATTAAATATTTCTTACATTAACCATTTTCCCCTGCACTTATTGACACATCATAAGGTCACACTGTGCACGTGTCTAATAGGTACGTTGAGAGCTCCTCGGTTTGTAAAGTATTCAAGGCACAGGGCATGGGGAACTGGGTGTGGTTTTGTGAGAGGAGCAGGGATAGCTTCAGCGTCCAGCACGCCTTGTTCTGAGCCCAAGCTTTGCTGATTGCAAGCTGAGTGATGTGTGCAAGTGTCTCACCTCTCTGAACCTTGGAGCCCTAATCTGCAAACCGGAGGAATAATACCATTATTACTGAAGTTTTAGCAATTACATGAGCAAAAGTGCTGGTCCATACAAAGTGCTCAATAAATATTGGCATCTGATTTTGTTTTGTTTTGTTTTTGGTTTTTGCCATAGGGTGCATGTGCTCACCTAAGAGAGAAAGAGAGAGGAAACGAGAGAAATCACCCCCAATGGGGGATGGCCACACCACATTTCCTTCTCCTCCATTCTTCTCCATTCTCCATTGGGATTCTGGGGATGCATACACATATCCCCAGAGTGATTTTCAGCACACTGGGTCTGGGACTTGAACTGCAGTTAACTATGTGGGAATCTGGGGCTTTAACTACCACTCCATCTCCTTGCCCTGACATTTGGTTTTTAAGGCAGATTATATTTTTGAATAGCTCAAAAAAGGACTCAATATTGCTTTATTTTGCCTAAATTTGTTCAGCAATATGCCAATAGCCTCAGTCTTTGAGAATGGTCCATTTGTGAAATGCCTGCTTGTTTGCAATCCCAGCACAAACAAACCCGGCTTCACATTCCTTTTCCAAGCAGACTGTGCCTGAAGAAAGCGGGCGTGTGGGGCTGCCGCTCCTGGCTGGCCGGCTGAGCTGCGTGGGATCCTCGGCGCAGGGAACAGTCGCTCTGGGCTCCTGACACCACAAGACCGCGTTTTCTAAGAACTGTTTTCTTCACTGATACAAAAAAAGGAACTCAAGATGCTGTACAGAATTTTTATTTTTAAACTGTCTTTTAAATAATATATTCTTATACAGAAATGAGTACTGTACTTTTTCTTTGCTAGAATTGTGTATCGCAGGCTGCCTCGGGCAAGTTCTCACATGGCACTGAAGGATACCGCTTTTCCCGCAGATGTATCTTAAAGTGACTGGCCAGTGCGCTGACGCGTGCGTCCGTGTAAATTCAGCATTAAATGTCAGAATGGTGCTGGACCGCAAGGACGTGCACGTGTCCTGTGTTTATGAGCCGAGGGAGGCGGTGCCGCGTGATGGGGACGTGCGTGCAGACTAAGGCAGGCTGTCAGACCTCGAGGGCCGTGTGTGTCACACAGTGCGCGGGGAAGGCAAAGGCAGGCATGACCAGGGGTGGTGACAGCCCAAGGCCAGGCACTTATTTACAGGGAAATGGGGATTTAACACTTAAATCCTCTGGTGAGCAAAAGAGGCACGTTTACACATTTGAGGGTCTCTCTCCTGGGGGAGGAGAGGTGCCCTCGTTTGGGGTATGAGCACTGGGGACTTCTGGGTGGCATGGTGTCCAGGCAGTGAGGCCCGACCTCTGACTTGTCCATGGTTCAAGTGTTTGCTCTTGCCTGAGGTGGTCACAGCCACTGAAGTGCTTACTCAGACTCTTGTGTGCTTTTAGGCTTCTAGAAAGGCCACAAAATGTCTTCTCAGAGCTATGGGCTCCCTCTCCCCTTTTCTGGAAGCACAAAATAACCCGCCCAAGAACCTCCATTCTGGAGCCAGTCAGTGGCCTGGTGGTTAAGGCAGCTGGATACCACATGGCTTGTAAAACATGCCAAGTGTACATGCATGTATGCCCAAAATTTTGAGAGCGGAGTAGAAGGAATTGCAGCACAATCACACCCCTTGAGAGGTGATTCTCATTTCCTTTCTCCCTCTCTGTCTCTCTTCAGAGAGCGCACGTGCCCTAAAGCTTTTTTTTTTTTTTTTAATTTTTAAAAAAGAGCCTCCACTCTGAAGAGCTGATCTTTAAACACCATTTGCATGCTCAGCTTCATGGGCATCATATGTGTGTTGTTGGCTCAGTTTCCTTGGAATATTTGTTCCTTCTTGGTGAATTCTAAAATATGACTTCCCATCTTTGAATAATTCATTTTGACCTATAAAATTTTCCATCATTTCTTGACTCCAGCATGATACGGAAGGAACCGTGGCCTCGATGCCTCTTCTTGCTTTCACTCTTGTTTTTCATTTGAATCCTGCAAAAGCCAATACACATGGCAACTCCAGCAAAAATGCAACCAAAACAGAGGTGTGCAGATACCAATGCACTCAGTCTGCATTGTCCCGTGTGAAGGTTTGGCACCTGCCTTCCTGGTCAGGGAGCCTTTGAACAGTATCTTCTGTCAGTTACATTACTTTGAATGCCTGCCTTGCCAAACTTCAACCCCTTTACAAATCCCCATAAGAGGCTACTTTGAATTTTACACCCATGCACACATACACTTAGATGCATGCATAGTCGTATATATGCACATGTCTACACACACAAACACATATGCACATGCATGCACGTACTTACATGAACATAAACGTACCATCATACATACACACACAGATCCACATACGCGTACACACTCCTACACTTCCTCTGGTTTCTGGTCCTACCACATTCTGGAACAAATGACATGAGTCCATAAGGAGAGCACGTCTCGGCACATTTACGACAGGTCCAGGCTCTTGTACAGCCACCCTGGTTCCACTCACAGAGGGCCTTGGCAACTGCTCCAGGAGCATCGGGCTCCCCACGTGATGGTTGTCAGAGCCTCTGCTTCAGATATGTTGCCTGGTGGATCCTACCAATCAGCTAAGCCCTTAGGCTGAGGAGGCCCCCTGAGTCACCACTCACTGAGACAGGTCCCCACCTTCAGGCTATGGAGAAAGCCACCAGCCAGCCCTCCTTACACATCAAGCAGCCCCCAGAGCCCAGTGCTCAGAGGCCTTGTCTGCCCTGGTCAGTCTGACCCTGGAGACGTCTACACACACTGACTCCATGAGTGGCTGCACAGGCAGAGGAGGCCCAGGAGGGTGAGGCAGCTGTGCCCACAGCTCAGAGGAACTCCTGGCACAGCAGGGGCAGCAGAGTGCAAATGTGGCACCCAGCCCTGGGGACAGAGCCCGCAAGAGGAGTGAGCGTGCAGGCAGAGGCTCTGACAAGGTGGAACTTCCAGTCTCAGAGATGATCAAAAGAGGCCCCACCCCCCAGTGCTGCCCATGGCACAGCACGCCCTCTGATGGGAGCCAGCGCCATCCCCGCCCCGATGGGGCATCTCCACGTGAACGTTCTGCCCAATGATCAGGGTTAAGCCAACGTGGGGAGAAAGTCCGAGGTTTTCCAAAAGAGACTGGAGATGACTACCGTGCGGGTGCTGCTGTCCAGCTCCGGGTGTTGCAACAAGACCTCTGCCGGCAGGAACACAGAGTGTACAAGGACCGTGTTGGCTGTGCTCCATCCACAGAGCCACACCTTCGTCGGTGCGTGTTTCTATAAGGGGACAAGAAAATGCTGTTTTCCAGAGGGTTTCTCCTCGAAGACTTCTAGGAATGCAAGGACTGATGCATGCACCAAAACTGCATCTGACATCAGCCTCCTAAATGCCCGCCTTGGGGCCGGCACTGGCCAAGCGCAGCCCTGCAAGTGCAGCTCCTCCTCCCCTGTCAGAAGGGCAGCGCAGCCTCTCTGGACTTCAGCTGTGGCCTTGCAGTAAGAGAAGCAAGGAGACGTGTCTGTCATTCACATCCTGGATGCTCCCTGAGGCCACCCTCTCACCACACCCTGTCTGATATCATATCGCAGATCACGGTCACCTCTGTGACTTCCTTTGTAGTATCTGAAGTCAAAGTGATGGTCAACTCTTGCTGGTATCTTTAACGAATCACACAGGAAACGTGTGAGATTGAACTGATTTAGCATGAGGGCGGGGCGAGCGCTAAGCACGCAGGCCAAATGTTCATCAGTGGAAACTGGGCTCCCGGGTCGCCTCTGGCCCAGAGCAGCCGCTGCCCCACATGGCCAGCACCGAGAGACACGCTGTATTCCATCCCCCCTCCAAGGGTGGAGGCTGGGCTGGATGTCTCCGTGGCCCCAGGACACACTGTATCTGTCAGATCCCAATGTTGAAAGGAGAGGTGTTGAAATTCTCAGTCAAAAGATTGTAACTAACCTGTTTATGACACATGGAAAATCATCCCTCTGGGTTCTGGAGGGGATTGTTCCCTCTCAGTAGCCAACAGGGGCTGAAGGAAGGTTCTGGAAGTCAATTCTCCCTATGTCCTGGCACATTTTCCCAGTTCCCACCGTTGGACTGCCAGCCCTGCCACACAGGAGACTGAAAAACAAGCGACAGCAGGTCCCAGAGGTCCTCGGGACCCAGTGGGGTGGGCTCTCCTTTCCTGCGGTCCCAATGGTCCTTGGGACTCGGTGGGGTACGCAGGCTCTCCTTTGCCTGTGGCAGCACATCTCAACTGTCCTGTGAGATGAGTCCCCTTGCAACAGGCTGAACCGGATCCCTCCTGAATGTACACGTCCAAGTCCTAACTCCCAGAATCCCCAGTATTGGATGTAGAGATGGGGCTCTGAAGATGCGGTTAAGTTACAATGCGGCCATTGGGCGGACCTAATCCAATGTGACTGGTGCCCTCAGAAGAGGAGCGGAGTCAGCCAGTGGTGTGGTTGTTAAGGCACCTGGCCAGCTGTGTGATTCAAGTCCCAGATCCAGTCACTTGAAAAATACACCAGGTGTGTGTATGTGTGTGCATGCCCACAATCCCAAAAAGGAGAAAAGGACCATCTCCCACGGCGGGGTGAGGGGTGGGGGGTGGGGCAGAGTGCACTAAAATGCCACACTCCATAGACTGACCCCACATGAGGTGGTTCTGAGCCCACATCCAGAGACTTCCTAGAGCACACCAGACACGCGTGTGTTCGTGATCCAGACCGGCTGAGTGTGAGGAGGGATAGTGGCATCAACACCCTTCTGAAAGGGACCAGCAGTTAGCGTAATGGCTATGTCGCTGGATTCCCACGTAGTCAACCGCGGCTCGAATCCTGGACCCGGTGGCTTAGACTCATGCTGGGCACGTGTGTGCGTGTGCCCAAGATCCTGAGAGGAGAATGGAGGAGAAGGGATTGAGGCGTGACCATCCCCCCTGGGGGGTGATTTCTCGCTTTCTGTCTCCCTGTCTCTCTCTGTTTGTCTGGCAAGCGCATGCGTCCTATAGCAAAAACCTCTCCAAAAAAAAAAAAAAAGACCCTTCTGAGAGTGTGTGCTCTCTCACTTTCTCTCACAGAAGAAATAAAGAAACTTCATAAACGAATAGTAAGAAGGGGAAATCCAGGCACACACAGAGGAAGGACTGTGTGAGGACACGGGGGAACAGGCCATCTGCAAGCTAAGGGGTCGCCTCAGGAGGAACCAGCCTCCAGGTCTAAGAGAATCAGTTCCTGTCGGTGAAAGCACTTTGCACTGTTGAAGTTCACCTTCGTGGGGTGGCCCAGGCAGGTACTTGGCAGCTACAGAAAACACCGTCCAGCAGTATTTGGGAATCCTTCTCAAGAGATGGCAGGATACAGGTATGGCCCCTTTCATCTCTGCCCCTTCCTCTCTGCTAATGGCTGGACTGTGGAGGAGATGGCTGGGTCTGAGGCATCCATTTTGGACTATGAAGTGCCTTCATAAAAGGGGCAATGAAGGCCCTGCCACATGATGGAAGGGGTCGCAGTCCCGAGGCTGTGAGGAGCATCCCGAGACAATCCCAGACTAACTCCAGACTCAGACAAGACCTAAATGAGCCGTCATTATATTTTGTGGTCTATGTTATTCACAGCAAGACCCAGTTTCACTTCTAAATTATTTAAACCGTATTTTGCACAAAAAATAGCTGTAAATGCTTGCCTGAAGTCTCTTCATATACTTTAAAGTAATGCAAAATTCCATTATTATTTTGAAATTTGGCTCTAATCAAATTGCAAAGGAAATAAGTAGGCCTTTACATGAGATTTTCAATTATTTTATAATATAGATTATTTCATTTAAATACTTTGATTTTTAAAAATTTATTAATTATTATTATTTTTTTAATTTGACCAGAGAAAGAGAGAAAGTGAGAAAATGAGCCTCTAGGTCCATCCTAAAACTGCAGTCACCCATGTGGGAGTCCAGCCCCCAACCATCACGCTACCTGCTGG